TTTTTTTTTTTTTTTATTCCTACTGTCTATATGGCCTTCATCACTGTAGAATCTAAATGTGTTCCTATTATTTAAATGTAGTCATTTCAGTAAGTCTCCCTTGCTTTCCCTATAGGAGAAGCATCTTGATTATCTTACAGGGCTTTATATGTATCTGTTTATATACAGCTAGAGGCAGATACATGAATATACATGCATTGATACATATGCATGTATGAATATACATACTGCATACTTACCTGCATTTACTTCTATGTTATTGGGCATGTTGTGTGCCAAGAACTTGCTGAAAGAAAGCTGAATTTAAGAAATGGATTTTGCATTTAATATCAGGGTGGTGAGGTTATTGTTGGTTACTTCTAACTCATGGGGGTGAATTCCCTATTCTGTGACCATCTTCTATGAATATTTGATCTCTCAGATTCATGAGCTTCTACCCATCCTTCCACATTTGTATTGTTTCACTGGACCATAGCTGTCATACAGGGTCAGAGTAAGAGATCTGGTTTCCCAGGGAGGTCAGCTCAATCACATGGAGGGGTTTTGATATCAGGGTGCAGACCTTGAATTGGAGTCTGTACACACTATAGAGCCAGAACAGACAGTCAAGTACTGGAGAATATGACCTGTGCCATGAAGTAGACCAACTTCTGAGGATTCCACTTTTTATAAGACATGTGGCTTATACCTTGATTTAATGGATTACAATCATCATACTCATTTGTCACAAATTCTTGGATCACCATGGACAGATCTCTCTTAGACAGAACTAAAATAAAAGCAGAGAGGTAAAATCTGCTCATATTACTCTTCAAGCAGCCTTCCTCATCATCCTTTTGAATGAACAGGTAGGGTGGAGATTCAGGAAAGAACGGCAGAGTGACCAGCTGGATCAGTGCTGCAATTCCTATGAAAGCCATCAGCAATGGCCACAAGGATTCAGTTCCTAGAAATTCACTAGAGAGTACAAGGAAAACATGCATATGATAAAACTTTAATTCAGTTTGTTTTCGGGGAGAGAGAGAGAGAGAAGAAAATATAGAAAAAATGAATAAATAAGTGAAATATACATTTAGTTTACCTTAGTCCCATAATTTGCCCTAAGACTTTTCCTAGTGACCAAAAGAGACCAGCAGAAGAGTTTGCAAACCCTCGCAGTTTCTTGGGGGAAACTTCTCCTGCATACTGAGGGTGTATAGTCATACAGAAGCCTTGAATAGGGATGAAAGTTGGGAAGGAGGTGAAGAGACAGGATAATTATATTCATAAGGAATAAAATATCTTTCTAAATTAGGGCCAGATCCTATTACACACCTCTTAGGTGCCTAAATAGTTCTTGAGCATCTCACTAGGGTCTTATTTTACCTGCTTGAGTCCTTGAAAAACTGTTAGCACATCTACTTTTATAATGTGCCTTTGCCTTTTCTCTGTGAAGGTAACTTAATTCCTCATCAGTAGAACTAGCATAATTGATACGTACATTTGTTTTGAAACCAGGATGGATTATATCTTGCCACATTTCCAAAATGGGGGATTTGTATATTCTATAATCTTAAACTATTCTTAGGGAAGGGAAAACTTACTATGTAAGAAGATGGAACATTTTGAAACAGGGAGGGGAGTCCTGCTGCAGTGTATATGAAGGGTAATGTGATGTCCTACCTGCACTGATGCCATAGAAGAAGCGTCCAGACAGAACCATCTCAAAGGACTTGGCCATCTTACTGAAGCCCATGAGAAATGCAGTTGCTATGATGAGTAGATTGTTGTACATTAGACATTTCTTTCTATAACAGTGCACAAGAAACTTGTATGAAAGTGCTTGTCAATGTATATCACTTTTTATGCCATCTGCTAATGTCTTCCTTTTATTGTGTTGTCCAATCCAAGATTATCATTGAGTCCAAAAGTATGGGGTTCATTAAGTCCTTTTATGTTGCATGGCTTAGATTGGTTTAAGTAGATGCCAAGGGTAGTAGAAGGTCCTCTTTGTGTGCTGCACATATGTGAGCACATCATTCAGATGAAAGAAAAGGCATAGTGAATGTAGTTATCCAGTTGCACTTTAGCCTAGACACAGTAGCCAAGCATTCCTAGCTTGTGAAAACTGCAACTGGATCTTTGACAAAATCAATCAGCCCTGACTTTAGTTATGCATTTTATCTAAAAGAAGCAATATAGGGTTCAACAACACTACTCTCCAGTACTGATTTGGGGGCCCTTAAATAAAGGACTAGAACTAAAATTCAGTAGAAAGTGGTGATTCTGTATTGGGCCAGCAAGGCATCAGCATTCTTGATACTGTATTAGATAATGCATTAGATTTTGTTACATGTGTCTACACTGTATGTATTTTTCATAGATTAAGGGTCGGAAGGGACCTAGTAGATCTTCTAGCCCGACCCCCCGCCAGGGCGGGAGAACAACAAAAAACCCCAAAAAGAGAAACGGGACTCAAATGAGTAATGTCAAATTATCAATGTATATTTGGTGAGATCATAGAATCACAGAAAATTAGGGTTGGAAGGGACCTCAGGAGGTCATCTCATCTAGTTCAACATCCTGCTTAAAAGCAGGACCATCCTTAACTATATCACCGCAGCCAAGGAAGGCTTTGTCTAGCCAGGTTTTAAAAACCTCCCAAGATGGAAATTCTGCAACTTCTCAGGGTAACCTGTTCCAGTGTTTTACTACCATCCTAGTGAGAGAGTTTTTTTCCTAATATCTAACCTAAACTTCCCTTGCTGCAACTTGAGACCACTGCTCCTTGTTTTATCATCTGCCACCACTGAGAACAGTCCAGCTCCATCCTCTTTAGAACCGGTGGTTGAAGGCTGCTATGAAATCCCCTCTCAGTCTTTTTCTTCTTCAGACTAAATAAGCCTGGTTCCCTCAGCCTTTTCTCATAAGTCACATGTCCTTGCCCTCTAACCATTTTTGTTGCCCTTCGCTGGAATCTCTCCAACTTGTCCATATCCTTTTTGTAGTGGGGGCTCCCAAAACTGGACATAGTACTGCAGATGTGGCCTCACTGCTGCTGAATAAAGGGGAATAATCACGTCTTTTGATCTGCTGGCAACACTCTTACCAGAGCAGCCCCATATGCTGTTAGCCTTCTTGGCAATGAGGGCACACTGTTGGCTTATATTCAGCTTATTGTCCACTGTGATTCCCAGGTCATTTTCTGCAGGGCTGCTGCCTAGCCAGTCAGTCCCCAGTCTATACTAGTACATGGGATTGTTCTGTCTTAAGTGCAGGACTTTGCATTTATCCTTATTGAACCTCATGATATTTCTTTTGGTCCAATCCTCTAATTTGTCTAGGTCTCTCTGAATCTTAGCTTTACCCTCCAGTGTATCTACTGCTCCCACCATCTTGGTGTTATCTGCAGACTTGTTGAGGATGCACTGTGAGCCATCTTTCAGGCCATTGATGAAGACATTGACCAAAACCTGCCCCAGAACCGACCCCTGGGGACTCCGCTTGATACCAGCTGCCAGCTAGACATCAAGCCACTGACTACTACCCTCTGAGCCTGATGCTCCAGCCAGTTTTCTATCCACCTTACAGTCCATTCATCCAACCCACACTTCCTTAGCTTGCCTGCAAGGATGTTGTGGGAGACCATATCAAAAGCCTTGCTAAAGTCAAGGTACCCACTGGTCTCCCTGCATCCAGAGCCAGTCATTTCATCGTAGAAGGCAATCAGGTTGGTCAGGCATGACTTGCCCCTGGTGAATCCATGCTGACTGTTCCTAATCACCTTCTTTTCCTCCAAGTGCTTAGAAATGTATTCCTTGAGGAATTGCTCTATGACTTTGCCAACAACTGAGGTGAGGCTGACTAGTTTGTAATTCCCTGGATCCTCCTTTTCCCCTTTCTTAAATATGGGCACTATATTTGTCCTTTTCCAATTATCTGGGACATCTCCCAATTGCCATGAGTTTTGGAAGATGATAGCTAGTGGCTCTGCCGTCACATCAGCCAACTCCCTTAGCACCCATAAGTGCATTCCATCCAGCCCCATGGATTTGTATATGTCCAGTTTTTTAAATAGTCCCTAACCTGTTCTTCTGCCACTGTTGGCTACACACCTCCTTCCCAAACTGTGCTGCCAGAGATATGACTTAATTGTGGCTTGAAGAAACAGGTGGTAGAAATGGCTGTAGGGAAAAGCTGAGAAGTGTAGTAGTACAGACAGTGAAGTAGTAGTGAGTTGATGAGAACAAGGCAAGCAGAGCCCTGGAAGGAGCACGAGAGGCTGGGGGGTTGTATCAGGGAGAAGCAAATGCAGCATCCCCTGAGAGAAGTGTTTGCCATCAAAGGATATTTATTATAGATGAGAGAACAACACCCCTTGAATCTGAGAGCTCCACTCAGGTAGTCAGTTTGAACCAGTGTAGGTAGTAAAATCTGCCAATTGTGGAGAATAACTGAAATATTTAAGTCCTTTGTACAAAGACTCAGTCAAAAGATTGTGAAATCTAACTAAGTCACCACTTCCCTCTGTCGCTTTGAGCAAGTCTCTAAAGCCCTCTGTGCCTCATTATTCCATTTCAGAAATAGGGCAGTGGATAATAATAATAGTTACTTAGCTTTCTTGTAGAACACTATGAAGGTTAATTTATTAATATTAATACTTTTTCCCCACTTTGAAAGTAGAAAATGCTGTATTGATGCCAAGTATCATTATCTGTTTGGGTACTTAAGTTCATAGATCCTGATGAACCAATTCAGAGGTTCAGGGTTAATACTAATCACTGTGTTTGTCATCAGATTATTCTATTGAGTTGTTGTCAGTTTAATGTGAATGTGCTATTCCTGCCTGGATTCATCATGGGGTTTTTTCCACTATGAAAAATGATAATTCTTAGGGCTCAAATAGCTGTTTCCCAAACATGGCAGGTAAGACAACTACATAAGGAGTTATGATACTGCTTTTTCCCCCCACTTTCTACCAAGTTCCTTTTGTTTACAAGTTTTGATCAACAAACTCTTTTCAAATATACACACTTTCCATATTTAGTAGTTAGGTATCCACTGCAAAGACACCCCAGCAGTCCGCCAATGCCGTAGATTGATACAATGAATGACCATATCAACATAAGGGTCTTTTGATGGAGGGGAGAGCCATATCGTTCCAACCAAGTTTCATTGATAAATCTCTTAACATGCTGGCAAGAAAAAGAGGATTTTCATTATCAATAAATCAAGAAGACAGTGCATTGCTCACAGTAATTCTTCATTTAATTAATAGGTTTTTAAAAATTTTCAGCTGTTGCTAGTTACTTTATAAGATATGTTACAAATGAGTGATCTGTTAGTAAACAGCTGTTTAGCAAAAAAAAGTTCCCCAGTGGCTGGCACCAAAGTTTTCTTGCAATTTCTGCTCCTTGTGTCCTATGATATCATCTTTGCAATTCTGTTATACCATTGTACACTGGTGGTATAAACCTAAAGGAAGTCAAGGTATTTTACATCTATAGTAGAATTAATAAGTGATATTGCAAGAAATACTTGTCGTTTTTCCTAAAAAGAATGAAAGAATGTATTACCTCCAAAACTCAGGCTAATATTGTAGTGCTGACTTGAGCCAGGTATAACATGCACTTCTTCTGTAAAGTGTTGCCCATACAGCTCAATATGTGCTTGATATATTAGTCTTAAAGTTCTCTTATATTGCCAGACCTGTCAGATTGTGATGGATGAGACATTTGATTTGAGCAGTATTTAAATTGAGGTGAAAGGCTAATGAACGAACATACTGTAATCTTAATCCTTGGAAAATCCATATGCAGTATAAAATTAATGAAAATACACCCTCACACTGACATTCATTTCTGTAAATAAATTCCCAAAATTAAAAACACTGATAAATGATCACCATGTATATACATATATTCACGTGACATTTGTATGTCCCTTCCTTCCCCTCTACGTTGGAAGGGACAATATAGACTGCAACGACTGTTATTAAGAAATCTCTATCCCAGCACCCAGAATTCTAAAGTATTCAAGTATTGGCATCATTTGTATTATTTTATTTTTTCTCTGAATTTGAAATTTGATGTGATCTCCCTTTTAATATTAAACCAAAGCCTTATCCAGCATAATGTCCTGCTTGGATTTCCTTATTTCATCAAAACCGTTATGATGATGTCCTCAAGGTCTCTTTGCTATTTGGCCCAGGGGGTTGCTTAGTTTAATATTGTGGCCGGGCACTGTTGGTGCCTGCCACTTTAAGAGCAGAGCCAAGCAGCCAGCAGGTGCTTGATAGTGGTGGCCATTTTAGATCTTTGGCTGCCTATATAAACACAGCAGGTCACTGCTGGCAGGCCAGGCACTAACATTGCCTGGCTGCAAGCCTCCATGCAACATCCTGGAGGTAAGGGCAGGAGCTGTAGAAGATGGTTTGGAGGCTCCTGGGCATGACCTAAAACTGCACCTTGCTGGGAGTGGGTGGCCTGGTGGGGCTCTCAGTGGTGCAGGAGCCCCCAGGAAATGCCAGGCCAGTTACCACCCTGGTGAAAGGTGGGTAGGGGCATGTGACAGTGGTGCTTCCTCGGTCCGTCTACTAGTGCCCCGCAACACTGATTAAGGGCCAACTGCCCGCCTTCTCGCCTGCCACGCCTTGTTGTTATTTGTTTGATTGGAAGATATTACTTGAGGGGGAGGCTGCCCATTTTTTGTCTCAGTGTCTGGGGCACTATCTGTGGCTCCTTTCCTCCCCTTACACCTCAGCCCAAGCCTCGCAGATGGCATGGACGTGTTTTGACCTGGGTCCTGTTATGCCTTGGTCTTCTCCTTTACTTCTGGGGCTCCTCACTGCCCCCCTCCTGCTCCAGGGTTGGGGTCAATGCACCCCCAAGATGCTGCACCCTCTCTGGCACCAGGGTCCCCATGCTACTGTGGGGCTCCTATGAGGCCTCCTCCAACCCCTAATAGCCTCACCTGGTTCTCCGGTAAAAAAACAATAAACACAAGAACACAAAGCCCCTGGGCTACAACATAAAAGCTAGACTGTCCAGTCAAACAAGATTCAATCCCTACCAGAGAGAGAGCGCCCCAACCCCAGCAGCAACCAGGCGATGTTCCCACCGTTGGAGTTCTCCCCTTCATCTGCACTAGCCGAGTTCCTCCTCCCTCAGCTGCTGGAGGGTAACTGCCCTCCTGGCCTCCTGCCTGGGCTTAAGAAGGGCTAAGCCCTGCCCCTTCCTGTCACTAGGTTTCACTGGTTGCCATAGCAACCAGCACCTGCGCAGTCCTGGTGACTGGCATCTGAACCTCCCCCTTCCCGCCACTAGGGGTCTCTCCTGAGCTGTTTCTGCTCTCAGTCGCAGGGCACCTGAGTGCTCTGCGACACACCTCCCCCCCTTCAACTCCAGACTCACCAAGCCGATCTTCGTTCTTGCGGGTGTTGCCTCTACCTGGGCTCCTTTCTGGGCCTTTCTTCTGGCACCCGACAACCCGGATATAGGAGGTGGAGGTTTTCAGGTGCCTCCTACTCGCCTTTTCCCCAAGGGCGCACCATGTGGGATTTGTTGGGAGTTACCCACCACAGGTAGTCCCCCCACATTAGCCAGCCTTGTTAGGGTGCACCTAGGCCTGTAGGGCCCCAGGCTCAATGTATTCTTCGGCCGAGATGTTAGACGCTGTATTGTAGCTATGGGGGTGGGGAGGCCTGTCTCTCTGATACCCCCTTTTTTTCTTTTTCTTCCCTTCCTTCACGAGGCGCTGACCTTTCTCCTCCCGTCCTCTGACAGGCCGGCCCTGACTGGAAAGGTCGGTATTTAGAGGGGTCATCCTGCCTCCCAGTAACAGGGTTAGGTTTCCCTGTCACACAACCCCTCTTCTTTCTTGTCTGGGATCCTCCCGGTTCCCCAGGCTCCTCTTCTTCCTCGTATTGCCTTGAGAAGAAGTCAGCATTTATATTCAGGGTACCCAGGCAATGTTTTATCTTGAAACAATATGGCTGTAGACTAAGGGCCCACCTCATCAGCCTAGCATTGTCTGTTTTCATATTTTGTAGCCAGCGTAAGGGTGCATGATCAGTGATCAGTGTGAACCAACGTCCTAATAGATAGTACTGGAATGTTTCGATAGCCCATTTAATTGCCAAACACTCCTTTTCTAAGGTGGCGTAATTCCATTCTGGTGGATGTAATTTCCTACTTATGTAGGCTATAGGGCGCTCTTTTTCTCCCTCTCTCTGCATCAACACCACTCCAATAGCTACTTTTGAGCATCGGTCTGTACTTGGAACGATTTATTAAAGTCAGGTGTATATAATAGGGGTTGCAAGCACAGTGCGTCCTTCACTGCTCAGAAAGCCTCTTCTGCCCCCCGTGTCCATCTCACCTTGGTAGGAGCTTCTGTCTTTGTTGTCTCTGTCAAAAGCTCCACCACCTCCACAAAATGAGGTACAAATCTCCTATAATAGTTGGCTAATCCCAAAAAGGCTCTCACTTGCCTTTTAGTATGAGGAGCTTGATACTTCTGTAAGGCCTCCACCTTGCATAACAATGGTCTCACCTGTCCGCTTCCTACTAGGAATCCCAGATATTGTGTTTCCTTTTTCCCTACCATGCATTTCTTCAGATTGGCCATCAACCCAGCCCTTCTCAAGTCTTGCACTACTGCTCTCAGTGCGGTGAGGTATTCCACCCAGCTTGCAGTGTAGATTATATCATCAATGTAAGCCGCAGTGTAGCCCCCACAGGGAGCCAAAACTCTGTCCATTAGGCGTTGAAATGTAGCTGCAGCTCCATGTAATCTGAACGGCATGTGTTGGAATTGGAAAAGACCCCAAGGGGTGGTGAATGCTGTCTTTTCTTGATCCTCGGGAGCCACTGGGATCTGCTAGTAACCTTTTGTCAGGTCTAGGGTGAAGATATAGCGAGCTTGTCTGATGTTCTCTATCAGCTCGTCTATTCTTGGCATTGGGTATGCATCAAACCTAGCTACTGCCTTCACCTTCTGGAAATCAATACAGACACGAATTTTCCCGTCAGGCTTAGGTACTGCCACGATGGGGCTCCCCAGTCACTGTGTGATTCGCATATTATGCCCTTCTCCAGCATCATTGCTATTTCTGTCTTTATTTGGCTTTGCAGTTGTTGGGGAATCCATCTCCAGTGTTCACGGACCACCTGGCCTGGAGGAGTTCTTATTCGATGTACCACACCCCGTGCTTCCCTCGGTGTTTCCCGGAATACGTCTCCGTACTCCCTGATTAGCTCGGTGGCCTGTCTTCTCTGTGCTTTTGATAGTCACGGGGCCAATTCCATGTCACCCAGTCCACTCTCCTCGGTCAATGAGGGTCCCAATTCTAATCCCTCGGGATGGAGGGATAGGTACATGCATTCTTGGTCCTCCCACTTCTTTAGCATATTAATGTGGTATACCTGCTTCTTTTTCTGTTTATCTGTCTGGTACACCTCATAGTCTACAGGCCCCACTTGGCGTATCACTTCATAGGGTCCCTGCCACCGCGCAAGTAACTTACTCTCCCGGTCTGGCAATAGAACCAACATGGGATCTCCTGCGTCAAATTTCCTTGTCCGTGCGCCTCGGTTGTAATATCTCATTTGACGTTGTTGCGCCTCCCTGAGATTTCCTATGACCGCACTTTGGGCTGCTTCCAGATGTTCCCGCAGGTGTATTACATATTGGATCAAGTTCTAGTCTTTACTCTGCTGTTCCTCCCAGCTTTCTTTTATCAGATCCAGGATCCCTCTTGGTTGGTGGCCATATAATAATTCAAAGGGTGAAAACCCAGTCGAGGCTTGTGGTGCCTCCCTTACCACAAACAATGGTGGTATCATTTTATCCCACTCCTGAGGTCTCTCGACCATGAACTTCTTTAACATCTGCTTTAGCACCTGATTGAAACGTTCTATGAGTCCATCTGTCTGTGGGTGGTACACTGCTGTTCTCAGGTGTTTAATTCCTAAAGCTTTGCTCACCCCCTCAAACACCTGCGATGTGAAATTCGTTCCCTGATCTGTCAGCAGTTCTTTAGGGAGTCTGACATGAGAAAATATCTTCCCCAGCTCATTTGCCACCTTTGGGGCAGATACGGTCCGCATCGGCACAGCTTCTGGATACCTTGTGGCATAATCCAGTAGAACTAATATATACTGGTTCCCAGTGCTACTTCGGGGGAGTGGCCCCATGATGTCCAGTGCCACCCGCTCAAAGGGAACCTCCACCAAAGGTATTGGAACTAAAGGAGCCTTTAGGGGTAGTCTTGGATTCACTTTTTGGCACACAGGACATGAAGCGCGATACTTCACCACTTCCTGCAACAGTCCTGGCCAAAAAAACCTTGCTTGAATACGGGCTTCAGTCTTGTCCTTGCCCAAATGTCCCCCCATAGGGACTCGTGACATGGGTGCTTGTGCAACTGACTGTCTCTATCTTGGGGCAGCTGATTGTCTCTATTGATTATTTCCTCTCCTTAGTCTGTCTGTGGTTTTGTAGGTGTTAATCCATGCTTGTTAAGTCATTATGTAGTAGCTAGGTCCTGTGTATTGAGCTGGTCCCTGAGTGAATCATGATTGATTGGTAACTGGTAACACAGTAGCTTAGCAGCCAGGCCTGCAGTAGTTTCCCCCCAAGACTGACACAGTCAGTCCCACAAACACCCATGTCACAAGTTTTGCCTGTCAGGTAGCTAGAGGTGCAGGGTCCCAGAACCCCCCTGCACCAATCTCCTCGACAGCTGGCAGGCTTTGTGGCCTCAGCAGGGGCCACCATCCCTGCAGCTTTCATCCTGCTGCACCTTAACACGCACAGAGTCACCCATGTCATGAGTTTTGCTTGTCTGCAGCTTGAGGTGCAGTTCCCCCCAAACCCCTGCACTGATCTTCTTGAAACTTGGCTGACTTTGTGGCCTCAGCAGGGGCTAGCATGCCTGCAGTTTTCACTGTGTTGTAATGCATAGATGTGACATGAGTTTTGCTTTCAAGAATTTGGGGTGCAGTTCCCCAACCCAAGCCCCTATACCGATCTTCTTGAAACTCAGCAGGCTTCATGCTCTCAGCAGAGGCTACCACTCCTGCAAATGTCATCTAAATCAGACAAAAAACAACAACATTATAGATATTTAATTGATTTCCCATTATACCCTATGGCTGGATCTCCGAGGTGGCTCCGAAGCTTTTTGAAAGCAGTTCAGAAGCTCCGAACTGGTTCAGAAAGCTTAACAAAGCCAGTGCTTTGATCTGGACATGCTGCTTCAGACACTGAAGCAGC